GGTGTATTTCACGCTACAGGTGACCTCATGGCGGCAAAAGAGCGATATAACTCCGCGCTAAAGTACTTGAAAAAAGGCTTGAACCAGAGCATGTTCTTTTTTGTAGCCACTTACAATCATCTAGGGGCTACTCTTTATGGCCTTGGCGACCTGCAGGCGGCAAAAGAGTCATGAACGTGCACTGGCCACTCGTCTGAAAAAGCTCGGATCTAAGCATGTTGACGTGACAAATAGTTACAATAATCTTGGTACTGTGTACCATAACCTTGTGACCTGTAACGTGTAAAAGAATGTCATGATTGAACAATGCCATATGTCTCAAAAAGCGCGAATCTGAGAATGTGGATGTGGTAAAGGAGCGTCTTGACCGCGCTGTGGCCATTCGTATGAAAAGGCCCGGACCTGAGAATCTTGATGTGGGGTTTAGTAACCATAATCTGGGTACGGTACATGGTGATCTGTAACAAGCAAGCAAAGGACGGTTACGATAAGGCTTTGAGCATTCTTTCACCCATGTCTTTTCAACTCTTCCCTTTTGTCTCGCGCTGAGGCTTGTTGTTTCAACGTTTTGGCCCGAAGAATGCTCGACATTGTCACGAAACAGAACTTTGCGTGTCCACAGGAAATTGCGTGGCCGTGCTATGGCTATTCATTGGAAAAGGCTCGGACCTGAGAATCTTGACGTGAGTTAGTAACCATAATCTGGGTAAGGTATATGGTGACCTGTAAACAGGCAAGCAAAGGACGGTTACGATAAGGCTTTGAGCATTCTTTCGCCCATGTCTTTTCACCTCTTTGCTTTCGTCTCGCGCTGAGGCTCGTTGTTTCAACGTTTTGGCTCGAAGAATGCTTGACATTGTCACGCAACAGAACTTTACGTGTCCACAGGAAATCGCGTGAGCCGTTAATTTTCTTTTCATGTCACGCATACTTGGATCACGCATACTTTGTCTAAAATGTTGTGGGTCACTTTCAAAACCAGCTTTCACAAGCTTCAATGGTTTTTCCTTCTGATAAGTTTTAATTATAAACGGTTCCACGCACATTTAGAATAGGCTTCCAACAAACATACGTCATGTGACTTGAGCGTCTTCCGCTTTCGATTTTCGACTCTGGATGATTAGTGAGAGGAACCTTTATTCTTTACTGTAGTGATAATATTACAGCTTTGCAGTTCATCTCCGGAATATTTCGACACAGTAAGTACGATAAATATCATTGATTCACGTATATTACTGAAATAACATTTTACAATTGTTTATACATCATTAGGCAAACTTTGCGGAAGCGATAAAGTTACAATAATAGGACTTAAAAGTTGTATGATGCTTAGTCATTGATGTTCTGTGTTACTTGGTGTTTGAAATAAGTAACTTTAAGTAAAAATCCTCTAAATTCTATCGATTAGCGTTGCCATAAGATTCTTCTGGCACATACTGGCAAATGTGTTTTAGCAGCTCTCATTGCTGCGGAAATTAAGTTTGTTCTATCAAGTGCCAGTCTAGTAGAGGCTTTTTGTGTCCCAAAAGCATTGTGAGCCGTTGTGCATTGCAGTTTCCCCCAGATTCGCCTTTCCTATTTATTTCACTGAGAGAGTAAGACCACATTAGCAAAGATTTAGCCATGAGCCGAGGCGAGGAAGAGAGGAATTCGAAGGGGCTCTCTACCCGCGGCTGTTGCCGTTCTTAGCTTCCTTCGTCATTGTTATATTTATAGCGAATACTTGATGTTTGAATTCAGTCACGTTTGGTTATCGGATATATTTCCTTTTTACGAAAGACGCAGAGATGAGAGATCCAGAGATAGATGAGGGAAACCAACAATGCCGGTTTGAATTTTGAATTAAAGGTTTTTTTACTCATAAGTTTACTAAATTGTACAACATTCATCCGATTGGAACATTCTCGAACCCGAAATTCATCCCAGGGCGGATTCTATTATGTAAATTTGATTAACATGTATATTTTTTGCCTAATATTTCCGGTTGAGTCTATTTTTTTCGTTATTGTTGACATTATGTCTTTATCCTCGTCAAAGCGACGTAAAACCCTCCATATTCCATTACAAAAATAATAAAATCAACAAACAATGTTATTTATCTACTTATCTACTGATAGAAAACGAGCGTTTATCTTCTTAAGTCAACCATGTCCGTGCATTTCCACTTGTGAAACCCGTGCCATAAATTAACAGTTCAATGCGCTTAACTGCTCCAACACTTTTTGTGCTTATCGCAACCACTAGTAAAACGTACACGGAACGGCAGAGGCATGCTTGAACTTCTCCCCTTTAAACTTTATGCCGGAACTGATACTCGCAAAGTTAGATCATATCAGTATGATATTGAAGCTAGATAGTCTCTTTCGGGAAATTCAGAGGATTTTAACACATCGTATGCGGGACTTCAAAGGATTTTTTAGCTGACTTCAAATTACAGTTACGTATTTGCACGATTGCGCTTAGTTATCCCAACACCGCCTCCACTATGGCATAGTCAGCGAGCAGCCAATAAATATGTCGGGTACTGGGTAGGCCCTTCACGAAAATGCATTTTGATCGGTATAACTTGGCTTAATAAGCATTTTTATTTTTACACTTATTTCAAAAAAAAATCGCTGTTTTATTTAGCATTTTCCGCCAATTTCATCTACATTTTTTGTCGCCAGGAGCATAATTTTGTTAGATTTGGGTGTTTTGACTCTGGTACTTCTGAAGACGTTTAGTAAACTTCAATTCTCCAAGCTCTGTACATATATGCCGTCTCTCCATTATACTTGTGACTTGGAAAAACGCCTAGCCAGTCAGCGGTTAGTTTGCATAGGTTCTACCCTCTCCTTGCTTAAATATCAAAACAAGAGGAAGGTCGCGAAGCAGAAAATAGGTAAGCTTCTGAGAGCGATATTAGGAACCACCGCTGGTAAATAGTTCGAAGATAAAAGTCCCCTTAATGGAACCATCTCCTGCTGCAGCAGGGAGAGTGTTCTTGATACTTAAGTCATCGCTCAATGAGAAACAGGGATGTGCCCTTGTCGACGACCTGCAAGCAAGTGTAATGTCGCAGCACAATGAGCGATGAACGCATGCCATAAAAAGTATAGAGTATTCCTCAAAGGAATAATTAATAGAGAGCTAACGTTGTGTTATGTGACACCAGACACATTTGAGAAACATAAACAAGTGCTTTAGGTGAAGGCGTGAAATGAATCGAAAGATGTTTCCACTAAATTCAGTAAATGTAAAATTATTTTTTCCTTCAAAATGAAACAAAGACTTTTCAAACCAAAGGAGTATAAGTTAGCTGAGGTCGTTTGCGGGTTGCAACTGAAATGATTACGATTTATCACAACTTAGGCCGTCCTTCGACATGATCTGAACTCTACTCTACAGCCCTTTCCTTCCGACTGGGCTTTTTCCAAACTCACTCTTGTACATTCTCGCTACTTACAATTACATATCAGCCCATCCATTGTTAAGTTTTCTTTTGCTTTGCCTTTAATTGTTTTTTCGTAAAGGAACCCTTACAACTCCTAATGAGAAGTTAAGAAACAAACGTTTTATTCAGAGTGATAATTTTTATCAAAGGTTCAAGGTGAAAGGGGAGGGGGGGGGGGTGAGGCAGTCGTTAGGTGTAACTGATCTCCCCATAATCACGAAAAACAACTTATCATACCTCAAGTACGAGTGAGACAATAATGTAGAACCAAATTCTGCAAATCCAGCAATATTTCCTCAGTCAAATGTGCTTACGTATGTGTTAGCTCCGAGTTATACCGTGTAACGAGTCAACTGTGAGCCTAAGTCAAGTTCGGGTCACCAGTCAAGTTTGAGCCAACTTAACTTTTTTCCCTCTTTATAAAACCATAGCGATAGAAAATACATGATTAATGTAGCTTTTAAAAAAGAAGAGCTAAACAAAACAAACAAAAATCAAAGCCGTGCATTTAGTAGGTTGTTTACTCAGGTCAAATTTGTCTGAATTCCCGCATCGTCAATTGTTACTTCAGTGGTGTTACCATGCTACAGAATTGTCGCGAAGTTTACGAAACGTTTCAAAGGCTGTTATTGTCCATCAAGACATTAAAACACTAGTGAGAGCCCCAACTGATGCTCACTACGAAGAAAATGGACTCGCGTTATTTTCAATGTCTTTTTCCAGGCACTGATGCAACACAGAATATATCATGCCTTATATATTCCTCGCGTGGTGTAACGACGTCTTGACAACTTTGTGATGCTTCGAAAATCTTGAAAAGCGAAGCCTGTATTTCATGAGTAAAACATGAAGAGTAGGACAAGATCATTCTGGTGAAACAAACGTCCCAGAGGAAAATTATATCTGTTCTTCACAATTTCGGCCTGGGTGGGAGAGAATCAGTTAATTTGTGGTGCTGTTTTTCAGTGGGAGCCCTGTAAATGCAACAAAATGGCGGTGGAGTGCGAGAAATATTGAGATTCTTTTTCGTACTCTAAGTCAGTTAAGACAGTTTGTCGTTTAAGTGGGACTTGTGCTTAAGGTTTGTGTAGTTAAAATGGGTGGAATCATTGAGGACAACTCGAAGATGCCTGGAAATTTTTACTTCTCTGATTGCAGCTATGAAGCAGGGCAAGATTAACCCTCGCAAACGGCTGCGAAAAAGCTTAAAACTAGGTGTTCTTGTATCCCTGGTGCATCATTTCGACAAAGAAAATTGAAACCTTAAATCCTGAAAGGGAAAAAACCAAGTTGACTCGAACTTGACTTGTGATATGGTATAACTCGGCAACTCTCGTTGTGCGGACTTAAGCCACATATTTGGAGTGAGCATCACTGCTGTAAGTTTAACCGTAACAGTGACTCTCATTCTATAAAAAGCAAGAGTACTTAAATTTTTAGCACAGTTTAAGACAAAACAACTCAAAGGGCTTCTGAGCAATCTCTCTGCTCAGAAATGTTTAAAATTTCGTTTTCTTTCTTCAAAGGACAGTTACCGAACTTAACTGAGAAATCGTTCGAAGTGAATATGGCCTCTTCAGTGAAATACAGTGAAGATCAACTAAACTACTTCAGGATTTGTTACGTTACCACTGACATCTTGACCGAGGGACTGCGAGAAATCTTTAAACAAGAATGGGATAGTCGCTACAAGGCCACGTTAGGAGAATGGAGAGATGATCCCAAAAATGGATTGAATTTTTGGAATGGCGAATCACTGCGGAATCAAAAGAAGCATGCACGTCTATTAACAACCATGACCAAAGGCAATAGAGCTGAGTGGGATTGCACCATGCTGTTTTATGCCATTCTTTTTTCTGATTGCATCCATAGTCTCAATCCAGTCGTCTGGTCAAATGTGGATAAACTCAGGCTGTTTCGGAACGAAGAGTTCGCTCATATCGCACGAGGTCACCTCTCAGACGTAGAGTTTCAAAATGCCATTAGCAAAGTGGAAAATGCATTTTTAGCTCTCGGTCTTTCTACTGTGAAAATTCAAGACGTAAAAACCCAAACGTGTTTTCCCACAGAGCAGTTGATACATGTTTTGAAGAAGGTGGACGACCTCAAGCAGGAAGTTCAGGAAAAAGAAAAAGAAGTTCAGGAAAAAGAGAAAGAAGTTCGAGAGAAAAACAAAAATCTTCAAGAAAAAGAGAAAGCAATTCAGGAAAACAACAAGAAATTGCAGGAAAAAGGAAAGGAACTTCAGCAAAAAGAACAACAAAGAAAGACCCTTGAAGAACAGTTAAACAGCGAGGCTTCTTCATTTTGCATTCTTCCTCCTAAGCCTTCTCATAATGTCGCAAATCGAGATTCCGATGTATCTAAGATTATTGAACAGTTAAAAGCGCTGAAAAATTCTACAGGATTAAGTTACTTGTACTTATCTGGAAATCCTGGAAGTGGTAAATCGCAGATTGCCTCACTTGTAGCCAACAATTTCTTTGACGAGGTCAAAGGAAGTACATCGTTTGTAATGACACTAAATGCTGAAAACTCTAAAACACTTATGGAATCGTACGCCACTTTCGCTTGACGTCTGAAGTGCCCAGAATACGCTGTTACTAACACACTTATCTCCAAAGATTTGAGTATTGATGAGAAGATCAGAAGTCTAAGGACACTGATCAGCACGAAAATCGAGCTGTACTCATCGTGGCTACTGATAGTTGATAACGTCACCAACATGTCTCATGTGGATGGTAATTTACCTGATCCTGGAAATGGGCAGTGCGCAAAGGGCCAGTTGTTGATAACAACACAGGACACCGCGTCTATCCCGCCGTCAGGCTCATTTATTCAACACATCCCAGTCAGCAAAGGTATGGAGCCTCATGAAGCCGGCTCTCTGTTGGAAATGCTTTCTGGTTTTAATGACCCAGAAATGGAAAAAGAGGTTGCTCGTGTATTAGACTACCAACCACTTGCCCTGGCAAGCGCTGCCACCTATGTGAGAGAAGTAAGAAACAACAAATTAACTCCCAATTTTAGCTGGGATGACTTTCTGAAAAAATTGGACCAAGGTAAGAGAAGTACAACAGAAGCCATGCTCGCTGGAAGTAACCCAAGTTACAAAAACTCCATGACTGTAGCTACAACACTTGCTGTAAAGAAGGCTATCGCAACGGATAAAGTTTTAGAGCACACTTTTCATTTTCTTTCTGTCTGTGCACCACACCCTTTGAGTCTAGACATTGTTGTAAATTATCTTAAGAAAGTGAAAGAAGAGCGTAGAGATCCTGAGATACTTGCTACGAGAATTTGCAAATGTTCTTTGCTGTTATTTGAAGAAGATGAAGGTCGCGCCTACATTCGAGTGCATCAGATTGTTCATGACGTCATCAATACTGTTATGAAAACCTTGGCCAAAAACAAAGAGCTTGAAGCCATTGATGGGGCCATTCTGTCGTTCTGCCAAGTTATAGGTCATATCCTGGTTGAGGATGACTCCCATACTCTTATCAGAAGCAAGAAGATTGTTCCTCACTTAGTCGCATTGAGTGAGATAATCGATGCTCTATTTTCTAGAGAAGGTATATCCGACGCTGTCAAAGCCGGATCATCCACTTCCTATGACTACCGAAACTATTTCGAAACCCTTGGTAAAACCTGCAAAAAACACTGTGAATTCCGATCGGCATTAATGTACTTCAACACAATGTTGCGATTAACTCAATGTGACGATGTGTTTGGTGACAAAGAAGTTGTAAACGCATATGGTTACATAGGTACTGTGCACCATTCCCTTGGTGACCTGCAGCGGGCAAAAGAATATCATAATCATGCACTGACTATTGGTCTGAGAAAGCTCGGACCTGAACATATCGTTGTGGCAGAAAGTTACAATAATCTGGGTTCTGTGCATTATGGTCTTGGTGACCTGCAGCAGGCAAAGGAATATCATGATTGTGCACTAACCATTCGACTGAAAAAGCTCGAACCTGAGCATCTCGATGTGGCAATTAGTTACAAAGACCTGGGTTATGTGCATTGTCGCCTTGGTGACCTGAAGCAAGCAAAGGAATGTGAAAACTGTGCACTTAAAATTCGTCTGAAAAAGCTCGGACCTGAACATGTCGATGTGGCGGAAAGTTACAATGATCTGGGTATTGTGCACCATAATCTTAGTGACCTGCAGCAGGCAAAAGAATGTCATGATCGTGCACTGGCTATTCGTCTGAAAAAGCTCGGACCTGAACATGTCGATGTGGCAAGTAGTTACAATAATCTTGGTTCTTTGCATCATGATCTTGGTGACCTGCAGAAGGCAAAAGAATGTCATGATCGTGCACTGGCTATTCGTCTGAAAAAGCTCGGACCTGAACATGTCAATGTGGCAATTAGTTACAATAATCTTGGTACTTTGCATTATGCACTTGGTGACCTGCAGCAGGCAAAAGAATGTCATGATCGTGCACTGATCATTCGACTGAAAAAACTCGGACCTGAACATGTCGATGTGGCAGAAAGTTACGATAATCTTGGTACTTTGCATCATGATGTTTGTGACCTGCAGCAGGCAAAAGAATGTCATGATCGTGCACTGGCTATTCGTGTGAAAAAGCTCGGATCTGACAATATCGATGTGGCAAATAGTTACAACAATCTGGGCACTGTGCTTTATGCTCTTGGTGACCTGAAGCAGGCAAAAGAATGTCATGATCGTGCACTGACCATTCGACTGAAAAAGCTCGGACCTGAACATGTCGATGTGGCAAGTAGTTACAATAATCTTGGTACTTTGCATCATGATCTTGGTGACCTGCAGCTGGCAAAAGAATGTCATGATCGTGCATTGACCATTTTTCTGAAAAAGCTCGAACCTGAACATGTCGATGTGGTAGTTAGTTACAATAATCTTGGTACTTTGCATCATGATCTTGGTGACCTGCAACAGGCAAAAGAATGTCATGATCGTGCACTGACCATTCGTCTGAAAAAGCTCGGACCTGAACATGTCGATGTGGCAGTTAGTTACAATAATCTTGGTACCTTGCATTATGCTCTTGTTGACCTGCAGCAGGCAAAAGAATGTCATAATCGTGCACTGACCATTCGTCTGAAAAAGCTCGAACCTGAACATGTCAATGTGGCAAGTAGTTACAATAATCTTGGTACTTTGCATTATGCTCTTGGTGATCTGCAGCAGGCAAAAGAATGTCATGATTGTGCACTGGCCATTTTTCTGAAAAAGCTCGGACCTGAACATGTCGATGTGGCAAGTAGTTACAATAATCTTGGTACTGTGCATCATGATATTGGTGACTTGCAACAGGCAAAAGAATGTTATGATCGTGCATTGACCATTTTTCTGAAAAAGCTCGGACCTGAACATGTCGATGTGGCAGTCAGTTACAGTAATCTTGGTACTTTGCATTATGCTCTTGGTGACCTGCAGCAGGCGAAAGAATATCATGATCGTGCAATGACTATTCGTCTGAAAAAGCTCGGACCTGAACATGTCGACGTGGCAGTTAGCTACAATAATCTTGGTACTTTACACTATGCCCTTGGTGACCTGCATCAGGCAAAAGAATTTCATGATCGTGCACTGGCTATTCGTCTGAAAAAGCTCGAACTTTAACATGTCGATGTGGCAAATAGTTACATTAATATGGGTGCTGTGCACTTTGCCCTATGTGACCTGCAGCAGGCAAAAGAGGGGCATGATCGTGCACAGACCACGGGTCTGAAAAAACTCGGACCTGCACATGTCAATGTGGCATATAGTTAGAATAATCTGAGCGCTGTGCATCATGATCATGGTGACCTGCAGCAGGTAAATGAGTGACAAGATCATGCACAGACAATTCGTCTGAAAAAGCTCGCACCTAAAGACTATGTGGTAGCTTTACAGAATAGCTTAGTGATGATCCCTCGAGAAAGAGAGAGGTGACGGACGTCTACCATATCTCAGAGTCGGTTGTATGATATTTAGAGTTAACAGCTTTGAATTTTGAATATAAATCCAAAAGTGCCGGACGTGATACTCCTGGAATATATGATCAATTTGCCAGAAAACTTAATTGGTTGGAGAATTAGATACTCTGTTTATGTAATATACAAGAGGCAGCCTTATTTGAATTACAATGACCGATAGAGAAATAGTCGAAATAGTTTGCTAACCCTTTACACCCTAACATCAGTATCTATATTCTCCTTACTCTTCTCCATACATCTCCTTTGGTACTGACAAGGAGATTTGTTTCATCAATCAAAGCTTCTTAGGTTGGTGATCATTTTCTTTATTCTCATGATCTTAATAAATGATTCAGCAAAATTATTGTAAAGAGAAATTAGATGCTGGTCACTCTCAAGGTATAAAAGGTTAGAACGATAGTAGAAGTCAGCCTTTCCATTTTTCTACCTCATATAAATGACTCGAGTGTCATAGGCTCGACTGTAAATACCATAACGTAGGACTTCATCAACTATTCATCAGTGTCATTTGGTTGAAGTCCAAAACTTGTCAGTGATCTCTCCTCCAACATTCCTCTTGTCTGCTTCATCACTAATCTCAGTTTACTCAGGCGGTTTTGGTCGTCCGTAATTGCCTTGCCAAACCCTTGTGCTAATGAAGTAAACAGGAGGGATATTGTGTATATTGGTCTTCCTTTAAAACCTTTTCCCTTCTCGGCTATTTTGTTAACTACCAAGGCAAGTGTTGAAGGTTAAACTGATCTGATTTTTTTGAAAGAGGAGAGGGCGTTTATCATGAAATTGTCCTAAACTATTAACTAAAAAACGAGTTTCAAAGTGGTTACAAAAACAAAGAGAATGCCAAAGTGAATTTGAAAAAACCAAGGGTAATCATTCGGTGCAAGAGATTATTTTCTTGTTCGATTGTCAAAGAAAATCCAGTTTTACTATGCTCCTTTCTGTGATTGGCCAAGAAACTGGGGTTACCTCCTCAACCAGTCAGGTGGAAAAGAAATCGAGTTGCTTATATTTTCCAATGACTCAGTCTTCTTGTTTCTTCAAGTTAATGCTCTCTCCTGGTGTTTTTTACTAACGTAACAAAAATGCAGGAAATATGATCATATTAACTTAATATATTTAAATATCCTGGAATTAACGGACTGTGCTGATTCTTTTTTTGTGTCTGAGATCAAACTAAACGTTTTTCTTACTTTCCTTAGATGTCTTACTCTTTTTCTGTAGTTTCCACGATATTTTGCAAGAAGCTTTCCTTTACTGTAAAATTTAGATGTTGAAAGAGTAAGACTGCAGATTCCGTACCCACCTCTCCCTACCCCGCAACTTTTGCGCATCTCTTAGTTCAATAAGAGAGAATATGGACATGGTAAAGTAGGAGGGTGGTAAAGGGTCTTTACGTGACACGTAAAAAGCCCCAAAATAAACACGACGTGCAAATTTTACAGCAGGGCAAGTTAAAGTGAGATTTAAAGTTATTCCTTTTAAATTTGTGACAACTGTGACGGTAAAGAAACAAAGGCAACAAACCAAAGGTTCTACAAAATAATGACTTTCATAAGATAAATTTTTAATGTTTGGGTTGTTATCACAATGTTTTACAAGAAACAAGCTGTCATCACAGAATTGTACCTCTTTTCAGTGGCACATTTGAAAACTGATCAAAAGGTGATTTAGCAAAAGACTGAAGAAAAAAAGTGACAAAAATGTTCTTATACAGTCCCAAATAGCCTTAATTGTGACAAGTTGTTGCCCAAAGATAGTTTATATGAAACAAAAACAACTATATGTTTTTCCTTGTAGTCCCTAACTAATATCTTGGAAGCATGGATTAACTTCCCCTTGGAGCATGAAGTTTTTTTAAGCTTCTTTTTCAGTTAACCTGTGAAGATTTCTTCCTCACATTTGTATTGTTGTTAAATAGCAATTAGGTTACCTTTTGGAGCTTATTAACTGTCAAAGTAGAATTGGAAAACAAAGTATCTCCTTAAGAAACTTAACTCCTTCTCTAGCAACACTCTTGGCATAAAGTCTTAAATTCAGATTTTAAATGTTGTATAGATTGAAATATGAAGAAGAAAAAAGATACATTGTAAATATACGATGCTTCTTCTCTTAGCTTTCTGGAGGGTATTCTGTAGAGAACAATATTAAAAAAAAAACATTGATGTATTTTGATACCTCCCATTTAATGTTTAATCAAGGTAAACTTGCATCTTTTAACCAAAGTAAGTAAACATCTTTATCCAAGCTTTTTCTGAACAAAGGATTAATTGTAGAATTATTATTTCTTACCTTTTATTTTCTTCTATTTATTTTGCCTAACCAACCAACCCACTTTCACAAAAGGGAAAGCCATGGAGCACAAAAACAGTTGGTAGTAATGGCCTAAATGAAAAAAAGAAAATCTGATCCCAAGAATGATAACATTGGATAGCCCCACACCACTGACTATGAAGCATGAAAAAAAGATTAAAGTTTTCTACATTTCTCTTTCCTTCCTAAAAAAAGAAGAAAAAAGAAAAGAGTCTTTGGAGTAATTAGTGTAATATTGTTTTGACTCCTCCATGTTTCCAGTGTCCATCATCTTTTATTCTTTAATCTGATACTTTAAAGAGACATCTTACCTCATTGTGATCAATAAGAGGACATTCAAACTCTTCAACAACTACTTTATCATCTCATGAAAAACGAGGTTCATAGATGAAAAACAGTCCACCAATCTAGTTAAAAAAAATTGACTTAAAGGTTATTAATCACAGAACAAATTTACCTAACCATGACCTAAAAGTTCACTTTAATTCAATCTGCATCACAGTCAACAAAATATTGCAGATCTGTTGTTTAAAAACATCATGGAAGCCTCTTTTGACTATGTACAATAACATATTATGACCCTAACCCTTAGCAAATGTCACCCTTGTGCTGAGTGATAAGTACAACCCATACTTATCCCAGTTTCTGCCTAAGTTGACTTAGAGTATTGATTATCCTCCTGAATGGGATATTGGGACATAACAGGTTACCAGAAGAGGTTTTTATCATTTCCCAGATAATTTTAGGTACCCCAGTTTTCTGGGAATTCCTAGGAATTCCTAGGAATTCTCAAAAATTCCCAACTATGCAAATTAACTCTGATTTAAAAAGCTTGGAATTACTGGGAATTTCTGGGAAAGGAAGACTCCAGTTTTGTGAGGACTTGCAATTCCTAGGAATTCTCAGCTATACAAACTATCTATAATCTAAGAAGGGTGGAATTCTTGGGAATTTCTGGGAATTGAATTTGAGGCAATTTAAATACCCTGAGGTCTAATTCTCAATACCTTGAATGTGAAGGTTTTAAGAAAAGGAGTAATTTCAGAGGCTTAAAACTTTAGCTCAATAAAAGGTATGCTATACAAAACTTACCAAGAGATATACATACACGTATATTTTTATAACTTAAAGATCATGAAATTTATTATTCAAACTAAGTTTTAGTAAATCTCTACATTAATATGGATTTTCTCATGAACCAGCAGTCAATGATCTGCAAATATTTGTCAACAAGACTTATTAGTAATGAGAAGTAAAAACCAAGTTTCCTTTCATAACTTAATTTCTTAAATGTCCCATTCACTGGATCTCCCAAAATATATTACATCTTTTTATTTTTGGTGCTTGCTACGGTCAAGCTTTGTAGATTTAGGTACTGGTACACTGGAATCATCTATGTATCTCTTATACTTCCTAATGTGGTATCCTTCTTTTATAAATATGAGGGTAAAAGACGATTTGTAGTCGCATTCAAAACTGTGATTGGCTTGTATTATTTCTCACCTTTGCCATGAACACAACTCAAGTGAGTTTCGAGTCTTTGTTTCCTCGACAACCTTCGGCCAAAAATCGTGCATTTGTAGTACGATCGATTCTTGTGGATTATTTCTACATAGAGTGAGCTCACATCATTATTAAAATCATCAAGGTATCCATCGTCTAGAGGCAGAAGACCGGTCGGAGAAGTCAGAATAAAGTTACGCGCTTCTCTTAAGACTGCAATCAGCAAGCCAGCGGATTAACTTTGCTAGCCAATGAAAAGTCCTAAAAGATCCACGTGATCATACCCGTGATCGGAAACAAAGAAGACTCTATTTGGCGCTCATCTTTGAATGTACTTTTCATCGGTTGATCGCTTTTCTCAACTGTTTTTCTTAATATAACATTTCTAAAGATAGCTTTTATTGTGGTTCAGTGGGAAAACGAGAACAGCGTGAGTGTTGTAAAAGAAAAGAAAGTCGTTGGCGCCGTGGAGTTAAAAGAAGGGATAACAGTTAACATACTGACTGGTACAAACAAGGGTCGAGTGGCCATCTGTAAAGCTACGATTTTGAAAGTTTGTGGTGAGTAAAAATTGCGATATTCGTTACGTGATCAAAATCTTATAAAAGAATAGATGTAACAGGTTGAATAAAGCTTACATAACGCTCGGCGCAACTGAAACTAGAATAATTCTGAGAATCGAATAGGTCACTTGCATGCCGCAGTTTCTTAAGCTTATGCTTTACAATGAAATAAATCTATCAGTAAGGTTTCAAGAATCCTTTAGTCACATTTGGGAACATTCAAGATTCATAATAGGAACTGTTATTAAACAAACCTTATTACATAAAGAAGCCCTCCTTGGTAAAAACAAAATAATGTATTCAACCCCTTTTTAGTAAAATCTATGGGAGAGATGTACTAACTCCAATATAAAAGTCACTCAATATAACCGAGATTTCTCAATTTGAGAATCCAATGAATGCCCTTTTCCTTATAGCCATCTTAAAGGCCTGGTCTGAGCTTTAAATATATATATTTATATATATATATTTTTTTTTCAAATTCAGATGTCATGGAATCCAGATACAAAATGGTCAAGCTTCTTGTAGACAACCTCATTCAAGGCCAACTCATTGTGAGCCCAGGGAAAAAAATACAAACAGCAGCTAAGTTTGCAGTTTAGGATAACTTTATTCTAATTTATTGTTACAGTTACAACAAGATTTTAATTAAAAAATCAATTTTATTTATCTGTAATTAACCCCTTCACTCCCAAGAGTGCTTGGTTTTCAAATATAATTCAAGATATTGTATTTTATGGAAAAGAATCAACAGATTTTATTCACAATTTGTGTCCATCCAAATTTAATGATTGATTAGGACTATTTTATATGAATAGCTGTAATTGAGGATTAATCCGTATGAAGTTTTCAAGAAAAGAAAAATAAATCAAATTCCATCCTAATATTACCACATGTTGATGTTAATAATTAATCAAAAATATTTTACATGCAAGCCTTAATTAAGCTTGTAAATAAATTTCATTGAATACTTGAATTTTAGCTGGGTTTTTTTAATTTAAAGTATTTATTTCATATCATTAGCCTCAAATTTTTGCTTAAAATTCCCTGTAATTCTTAAACATTCCTAAAAATTCTTAAAATTCCCGGAAATTCCTAGGAATTTTTTAGATTTACAGCTTTTCAGGGAAAGTCATTGGTTCTCTGAGTTGGAATTCCTAGGAATTCCAAGTCCTGTTGGCTATAAGCTTGGAATTTCTGGGTTTTTATGGGAATTTCTAGGAATTTCTAGGTTTTTTGAACCAGAGTTGTTATGGTTGGGAATTCCTACAAATTCCTACGAATTCCCAGTCCGAATTTACCGTAAAAATTCACACCTTTATTCCTAGGAATTCCTACGAATTCCAAAATCCATTTCACAAGGGTCACCAGACATAGCTACCTTTAACAACTCTCTCAACAACAGAAAAAAGGCAAACTGGTATCTAGCTGTAGGACATGAAGATAGTTTTCCAATTCCATAACAAACAATATCAGTAACAGGTTCTCCTGGGATGATTTTAAATTTGTTATCTGGTCTAACAGCAGACTCAGCTGGACAACAGGACTTCTTCATATGATGACCATCACAAAGTAGTTCTGAAGAGAAAAAAAATTGAGGCCTTGTTAGGAAAGGATCCCTTTTTATTCCATTTCTTTGTACCTCATCTGAGAAATGATCCTTCTATTGACCAACTAATTAATGAATAATGAATCCTAGCTAGCAGCATGGTCGAGCAGAGAGCACATTGGACTCTCAATGCAGGGTTTCAGTTCTGCTTTGACATAACAAAAACCACTGGGTAACCAGCAATTGTGCCATCTTTACAGAGCCATCCTTTTTTTTCATGGTCAGGTTAGTCATCCTTGATGTAATATTCAATTTTTAGGGTGTGGATAAATGTCAGATAAATGAACAATAGTCTCTTCATGTTTGTCCATGGTTTAAAAACTGGTTCTCAGATGGATAAGTGAGGCAGAAGAGGGTGGGGGTGGGGAAGGGCTAAGGAGAGCTGACAAAAGTTGACATATAATGCACTAGTTATTGTATTTTACCTTGAACATTTAAAAGAAATTCACTCTCAGAAATTTCTTCCCTAATTAACAACATACATAGATTCAGTAGATTAAACATGTAGAACCTTCATCTTCAGTACATAGTCAAGGTGAAATACAAAAATTTCATAAAAAGTTAACCTTTGCTTACTTGCATTTCTCGATTTTCGTCTTTAACTCATTTACATTGCACTTTTCTGAATCATAGGAGGTTGAAATTTTCCGAGATTTCGCTTAAGATCCATTTCATCAATTTTATTCCTGTGCTTGCGACTTTTATGTTCCATCGTTGTCCGCCATTTTGGTTGAGTTCGTTGTTCGCAGGGTCCACTCACCCACTTATTAAAATCCCTTAGGGGTGGGGTGAGGTGAAAGTCATCGCTTTTGTTCTTGTTAAGCGATCCATGTATCTCTTTCTCCAAATGAACATCCCAGTGGTGAGAAGTCTCCTAAAAATGTAACACATTTGCAGACAAGCTTGTAAAGCACAGGTGAGGGCTTAGAAACTAGGTTAATTAATACCATCAAAACAAACTATGGTAAATTCAACATTCGCTTTGCAGCTGTAAAAGTTTGGAATCACCTTGATGAAAGCATTAAACACCTCCCCCTTAAAACATTTAAAAACAAAGTCAAAGTAGACATCTTACAGTCTTACTGTTCATGAGTTTTCAACTGGTCTCTTCTTATTATTTTTCCTTTTTCTATATCTTATTTTTATTTATTTTTCTTTGACCAATAATTTGCTTTGCTCAAGCGTTAGTGCTTTATTTAAACATTTACTTTGCTAGTTGAATATGGTAAACCTAAACCATCAGGGGTGAGGCAAGGTAGAGGTCTTGCCCTTTACAACACCCTTTCACCATTAATATAGGGAGCAGGAAACCATCCTCTTTCCAGCATGCAAAATGTTCTTTTAGAGGCATCAAAGTGTTTTTGCTCTCGTGGAAGGCAGCTTGTAACAAAGGAAAGTGTCAACGCAAGGAAAGAGTACAAAAGCCAAAGGATTGACTTTGAACATCAAAATGTTCACCATTTTATTGTTTTCATACACCAATATGGCTGACTCAACATCATTTGAAACCCCCTTTAAAACTCCAGCTTTAGCTTTCAAACAATAGTTAAAATGCTAATGATAAGTTAATGTTCATTTCATTCCCTCATTACCACTTCACTACTATTTATACTGAGCAAATGTTCCACAAGGTTTGGAACTGAATGAAAACAAGAATCAAATTGGGAAAAAGGAACACAAAGTTCATTTTAACTAAGATTTATTTCAAAATAAAATTTTCCTGTTAACTACATGACATACGATTAACAATTTCTTTAAATTGTAACAATCATATCGGGGCGTTTGGAAAAGCTGGCTTAAAATGAACAAAAAATTAACACAATTAGGTGAAATAGAACATCAAACGCAAAATTTAAAAAAAAAAACCAGTTAATTTAAAAACATCCCTTGTTGCAACAAAACAACATTGATATCAGTGTTCATCCACAGCAAATATTGCCTAAACTCTGTGTTGTAAAAAAACTAGCTAAGATAAATCAACGTGATTTTGCTATCTATAAAGAAATAGAACATTAACTTCAAACATGAATGACCTGGTCTGGCCCAAGCAAAAGAATTAAGAGGCTATTTATAAAAGTATATTCACAAATTTATATCAATCATATCCATTAAGAGAATGAGTTTCAACTAGTAGATCTCTTACAATTTTATCAATTAAACTTCCCCATGCCTTTATGAGTGGTGCTATATCATTTTTACAGTCATGTAAACATTTTGATATTCCAACTGATGCTTGTACTTGTAGTACTCTAGTTGTTAAAAGTTTCTTGAAATAATAAATAACTTACTTTCAAAGTGAAAAACTCTTTCAAGGAGACAGCCTTACTTGTGGACAAAACTTTCCTTAAAAGTACATCAGAGTTCAAGTAACTGAACTCTCTGATTGTTGCAACAACAACAACCATTGAAACAAGTAAATTCAACTTCATTGTAAAAACTGTATCTAAATTTTACCATAGATTCAAGTAATTTTAAGCAAGTATCATTTTAGCACTGTCTCCTAAGTAGAGTGACCCACTCTCTTGATTTATGTAACATGTAAAAATAATCCCGAGGAGGTTAACAATCTTTCAGTTATTTAATGAATTAACTTCCTTGTATTCTGTATGCTTTTTGCTTGATCCCTTCACCAGATCTTTAAGATATTTCTTGGAATTCAGTGCTATTTTAGCCACCACCTCCTTGGGAAGATAAACATTGAATTTTTCTGCAAGTCTTACCAGGTAAAAAGTACATCACTGAGTTCTTGGGCAAGATGATGTTTCTCTTTGGGAGACCAATCTAGAAAAGCAACCACAAACAATTTGCTAAGATGTGGATCAAAATCCACCCAGTAGGATGAACTGTTGTGACCATTTGCTTTAATTCTCTTCGATTTGCTTGCTACCTGTTTTTAACACAAGAACTACTCATGAGATACATTCTAAATCTTTAAATTTTTTATTGAAATCTTAGCTTTGAATTTTTCTGATGTTAGTTCATTTACAGGTCATTCCCCACTTTCCATTATGTTTCTCTGATCATTTTCTGGGGTCATTGTTCACTTCTACTCCAAGGACTGCAGAGGCACTCGAGGAGTTGAGTGTTTTGCCCAAAAACTCAACATAATGAGTGGCCCTGTGCTCTTGTTCTGACCTCTCCATCTTGTATTTAAGTGCACCAACAAATAAGCCATATTCCTTATAAAGAGAAGTGTTGGCCTATCTTAAAGTTAGTATCCTTGATTCCAGTGTGAGAGGGCCAAGGTCAAGACCCAGCTAGGATATTGTGTTGTGCTCTTACTCCCCCCATGCCTCTCTCCACCAAGGAGTCTAAACAGGTACAGCTGAACAGTCAGAGAAGCCTCATAAATGCAGGGAGGAAGAGGGGGAGGATGTTATTTTCAATAGACTAGCACCCCATCCAGGGGAGTCTGTAGCAGTATTCCCAGTGGTTCCATGCAAGGTAGAATGAATAAGCTCTGGTTCTTTGTCAGCTATCTGGCTCTATGCTGATAATTTATAACAAGAGAAAGGAATATCGTTTTGTTGCTTTCAGTTATTTTAGTGTGGAGATGTTCATGAAAAGAAAGTAGGGACACTTCTTACACTCACCTTGGAGTCCTTCCTTTACTTCACCTTTCCACTGGTTATAAATATGAAAAAGGAAGAAGTGACAATTGATTACACCTAGGTACTTGATTAGTTTAAACTATCAATGTTTGTTGTACAACAGGACAACAATCTTTAAATCAGTAATACTTTACTTTCAATAATTCTGCTACTTCTCCAACTTCCCCAACCTACGACAAAAGTAGGGATATAAACTTGAAAAATAAATTTAGGCCTTGCATGAACATTTTCAACAACTAAGTGCATAACTATAGAAGATCTGTAACTAGAATTCATGATAAATTAAAACAACATAAATATATTTTTCTCTAATTTAGGAAGGACTTGCACTTGGAGAACACATGGGATAGAGAAGACAACCTTGGGGATGAACTTAGAATATATCAGCAGCATATATATGAGCAGGCAATACTTAAATTTTGAAGTGGGGAGCCTACCTTTGGGTAGCACCCAAATTCAAATTACATTTTGTCATCCTTTCCAAAAACTGTTTTGAATGATAGAACCAAACAGAGAAGAGAATGTCATAGAGAGCATGTACAAAAGAAACAATTCAAATGTGATAAATCCTTCCTTTACATATATAGTAGCTAAATTTTTTTAACAACAGTGACCTTAATGATCCTTAGTTTGCAAGAGAAAGAAAAAGGTCTAGTTTTCTCGGAAACTAAAGTACAAAAAAGGTGTCTGAAGTTAAGTGTAAGTCGAATAGTTCAAGTTTCAAGACAAGTTAATCAGTAATTAATTAGCCAGTTCTCATACCATTGCAAGTACAGGATTTCTGAGCTGGTGAAATTGATTCCAGTTTCTTTCTGTAGTAAACTGCGACTGCGTCTGTCGACTGAAAGTAAAGAAGGAAACAACAATTGAAACCTGAAATAATAGATATATTCGTATCAGCCCGCATTCATGTGGTAAAAAATTGAAGGGGAGAAGCTCATTATCAGTGGTAAGCAAAGGCATAATACAAGTAACGCAAAGTTGCAGAGTTCACTTATCTGGGTACTGCGTTCCATAACCTTGGTGACCTACAACGGGTAAAAGAGTTTCATTATTGTACGCCGGCCATTCGTCTGAAAAAGCGCGGAACAGAGCATGTAGATGTGGGAAAGGAGTTTCTTGACCGTGCGCTGGCCATTCGTTTGAAAAGGCCCGGACCTGAGAATCTTGATGTTGCGTTTAGTAACAATGATCTGGGTACGGTGTATGGTGACCTGCAACTGGCAAAAGAGTGTCATGATGATAATAGTTCACTGATCTTTCGACTGAATAAGTTCAAAACTGAACATCTTGATGCAGCAACTAACTTCATTAATTTGGGTTATGTGGCGTTCAGTCACAATAATCTTGCTACTTTCCATAGTTCCCTTCGTGACCTGCAGCAGGCGAAATAGTGTTATGAATGTGCACTAACCATTCGTGTGAAAAAGCTCGGACCTGAAAATGTTGATGAAGCTACCACTTCCAATAATCTGAGTTTTGTCTATCATTCCTTTGGTGACTTTCAGCCGGCTAAAGAATGTTAAAACGGTGCATTGGCGGGTCGTCTGAGAAAGCTCGGACCTGATCATGTTGATGTGGCGACAACCTATAATGATTAAGGTCTTGTACATCGCGACCGGGGTGATTTGCAGGAAGCAGTAGAGCCGTCATGATCGTTATTTGACCATTCTAACAGAACAACACGGACAGGAAAATGTTTAAGTGACAACTACCTATCATAACCTGGGTTGAACACACCAAGCGATCGGTGACCTTGAACAAGGAAAAGAGTGCAATGAACGAGCACTCAACATTCGTCTCAAAAGAGAGGGTCCTTCGCAAGTTGATGTCGCAACTATCTACAACAAACTAGGTAATTTTCATCATGGTATGTGTGGACTGCAGCAAGCGAAGGACTGTTACGATAAGGCTTTGAGCATTCTTTCACCCATGTCTTTCCACCTCTTCGCTTTTGTCTCGCGCTGACGCTGGTTGCTTCAACGTTTTCGCTCGAAGAATGCTCGACATTATCACGCAACAGAACGTTGCGTGTCCACAGGAAATCGCGTGAGCCGTTAAATTCTTTTTTTTCATGTCACGCATACTTGGATCACGCAAACTTTGTTTAAAATGTTGTGGTTCACACTTTCAAAACGAGCTTTCACAAGCTTTAGTGGTAATGGCTTCTGATAAGTTTTAATTATAAACGGCCCAACACTCATTTAGAACAGGCTTTTAATGAATGAGTTGTCAGTAATCGGATCCTTGCGTTTGCGCAAAAATTTCTGGATCGCTACTGGGCAAACATTGCAAACTGCTTAAAGGAAATAGACGGCGAAAGGTTCTTCGACGTCCAAAAAAACCGATTTTGGAGAGAGATCAATGCTTTTTCGCCACGGTTTTACTATAAATGTATAAAGACAAAGTTAATTCGAGGGAAGTGTAAATTTTGGTTGGTATTTCCACGAAATATGTCATAAAATATACCGATGAACGTCTATCCTTGCCCGAGGCTTATTGTCAAAATCGTCATCGCGTAATGGTAGCAACATTTTACAAAATTAGCCATAAATCGTTAGGAAATTACTCGTTTAATCATTTTCAGTTGTGTTTATGTGTGTACAGCCTATTCTCATACTTGTTGGCTTATTAAATAAACAAATTACGACATTTTAAAATATACCTCTTCAAAGGAGAGAAGTCGTTGACAGCGGTGATGGAAATTGTTTTTACCGAGCCGCTGCTCTTCGGAAGGACGAAATGAGCGGTTAAAAACATGAGGAAATTCCCAAGTCAAGTGATAGTTTGTTTTGAGAATAATCCAAAGGTTTTTGAGCAGCCACTTTTCTCCTCGACCTCCTTGGACGATCTTGTCAGGAAAAGCAAGATCACGGGAACTCTGAACATATATTCAGTTGCGCATCGCTCCTTAATTAAGCAACTCGTTTGTACCTACTCATTGTCGCAGAAGGAAGGGTTTAGTTTTGAGTCGATTATCAACGCTGGTTCGTTCTCATTGATCACAACAGAGAAGCAAGGTATATGTGGGTGTTTAATCACTTCAATGTATCACGATAATATCTAACAATATATATCTCGAGGCAGCTGTTGTAGCGCTCTTTTTATTACCAAGGCAAGAAAAAAGCTAGAAGTAGACCTAACACATGTCAAAAGGCTGTACTGATTTATTTTCTGGTGATTTATAGCTAATAATTCCGAATTTCGAGACCATTAAGCGAAGTCAATTTCAAAATAAACCTTGTGCATGGAGAAATGTCAATCGGTTTTTCTTACCACATATTTGAAGGTTTTCCTGACAAAAACTTACGCTTCCCTTGTATAAACATTATCCAAATCTATTTCTAATAAAACAGCGGCGAAAAAGTGATAATCTCTCTCCAAAATCGTTTTTTTTTGGACGTCGAAACGACCTCTCGCCATACATTTGTTTTTAGCGAGTTGCATGTTTGCCAGGTGGTGATCCCAGAAATCTTTTCGCAAACACAGCGCTCTGATTGCCGTCAATTTATTCATAATCATACGTCATATGGTCATATGACTTGAGTGTCTCCCGCTTTCATTTTCGACTGTGGATGATTCGAGACAGGAACCTTTATTCTTTACTGTTGTGATAGCATAACAACTTTGTTGTGCATCTCCGAAATATTTCGACACAGTAAGTACGATAAATATCATTGATTCACGTTGTATGACCGAAATAACAGTCACATTTCTCTTATTCTATCTTGACAAAACATGACACTATCGACATGGCTCATCCTAACAGTATGCAGAACGCGTGTCGTAATAGACCTCGTCCACCGTAGAGTCACTGTGGCTCAGTGGTAGAGCATCAGAGCGCGGAATCCGAAAGGTCTGTCCATTGTAAAAGTTCATTTCAAGCCAATGACCAATCTGGAACTTCCAAATGCGCTCGCTCACGATGCAAAACTTGTCCTTTCATTCATAACGTAGAGGAAATATCGGGACCCAAGGGATCTATTAAGATCACTGATCACTTTACGTATACCTCCGCCAATGTCATTTACTGCGTAACTTGCACTTATTGCGATACGTTTTACATTTGTCCATCATTTAAATTCCATCAATTAACATTGCCCTTAAAATTTTTTTGGCGCATACCGCCAAATGTGCTTTAGTAGTTCTCATTGTTGAGGAGATTAGGTTAAGTTCTATTAAGTGTCAGTCTAGTAAAGGTCTTATGTATCCTGAGAGTATTGTGAACCATTCCGCATTGCAGTTTTCTCCACATTCGCCTTTCCTATTTATTTCACTGAGAGCGTAAGACCACATAGGCAAAGATTTAGCCATGAGCCGAGGCGAGGAAGAGAGAAACTCAAAGGGGCTTTCTCCCCGCGGCTGTTGCCGTTCTTAGCTTCCTTAGTCATTGTTATATTTATAGCGAATAGTTGATGCCTGAATTCAGTCAGATTTCCTGTTAACGAAAGACGCGGGGAGACGAGAGATTCAAAGATAGATGATGGAAACCTACAATGCAGGTTTGAATTTTGAATCAAAGGTTTTGAGTCATAAGTTTACTAAATTGTACAACATTCATCCGATTGGAATATTCTCGAACACGAAATCCGTCCCAGGGTGGACTCTATTGTGTAAACTTAATTTACTTGTTTATTTCTTTACCAAAGATTTCCGGTTGAGTCTATGTTTTTGGTTTGATTGTTCTCATTACGTCGTTATCCCAGTCAAAGCGACGTAAAACCCTCCGTATTCCATTACAAAAATAATACTAGTAGTAATCAAAGATTAATAAGTGCGTTAGAAGTTCAATGAATTTAGCTAAAATCATACAAAAACAGAGGAGGAAATTAGTTGAGAGATTAAATGAGAAAGACGAAGTATTTAAAGAGCAACATGAACAATAGCAACTTTAATAGTGAAACCCAAATATGTAACCAAAGATGTTTATCTACTTAGTTACAATGTAGTTTAGATACTGATTGTGGGAGACTAACTTTTGTAACAGTAACATGAATGATAGTAACTTGAATAGTTACAAGGGATTGGTTAGTTGCAAGGGAAAATGTAACAAAACATGTTAGTCTACTCAGTATCTTGAAAAACTGAAAATGATAGAGTAGATTTTATAACAACAACATGAGGCTATGATGAAGTTCAAAATGCTATGAAAATTAGATTTTTCCATGTCTAAACGTTTCGTGTCTGTGTGTCATAGCATTGTTTAACAATTTTTCTTAACTTAACAGTAACCTGGATGATACTAACTCGATTAGTCACAAGGTAAAATGCAATAATTAAAACATGTCAATATACTCATTTACAATGTAGTTCAGATACTAAATGAGTGAGACTAATTTTTGTAACGGTAACATGAATAATAGTAAATTGAATAGTTTCAAGAAAGTTATGAAGTTGGTAATGCTATGAAACTTTTTGCAATGTTTAAAAGTTCTGGTGTTTGCATGTCATACCATAGTTTAACAAAAAAATTTTAATAGTAACATGAATAGTAACTTGAATAGTTGCATGGGATTGGTTAGTTGCAAGAGAAAATGTAAAAAAACATGTCAATCTACTCAGTATCTTGAAAAACTGAAAGAGATAGACTAAATTTTATAACAACAACTGGAACATGAAGCTGTGATGAAGTTCAAAATGCTATGAAACTTAGATTTTTTTCCATGTCTAAATATTTCGTGTTTGTGTGTCATAGCATTGTTTAACTATTTTTCTTATCTTAACAGTAACCAGGGCCGGGTTGTTCAAAGCGTGATTAAGCAAACCCAGGGTTAGCGTCAATTTTTATTCCAGTTAAATTAATAACCAAAAGAGATTTTCTTAAGGATTCTTGCTCTTTAGTTTTATTTTTCGATTTGACTTCATGTGCAGCTTAAAATTAGCTTTTGAAATCTTTTTAAACAAAAGAGATTAAATCTTTGATTAAGCTTTAATCGTGGGTTAGCAGTAATCGTCTTTTGAACAACTGGGCCCTGGATGATACTAACTCGATTAGTCACAAGGTAAAATGCAATAATTAAAACATGAGAATCTACTCATTTACAATGTAGTTTAGATACTAAATGAGCGAGATTAATTTTTCTAACAGTAACATGAATAATAGTAAATGGAATAGTTTCAAGAAAGTTTAATATGAAATTCAAAAATTAAGTGCTATAAAAGTTTTTGCGATATCTAAAAGTTTTAGTGTTTGTATCTCATAGCATGAATTATTAGTAACTTAAATAGTTACTAGAGATTGGTTTGTTACAAAGGAAAATGCAACAAAACATGTTAAATGGCAATTTTTTCAATGTCCACAAGTTTTCGCGTTTACGTGTCAAAGCATACTTTAACTGTGTCTAGGTTTAAGACAGCCTCTGTGATTTCCTCCTCTGTTGTTTCATTTGCAATTAAGTGACAAATTGAAAACAACTTTGGCACTGCTTCTTGATAAACCTGTAGCTGAAGCTTCTGCAGTGGTTGTTTGGAGTTTTGGATATGGATCTTGAGTGTCCACTTTACACTGCAGCTGGTTGCCTTTTTGTGTTACTTTGCAGTTATCGCAGACTGCAATTTTTCCCTTGATTGTAACTTTTTTTTTGAACATGAACAACAACAGTTGTATTTGGTGACACTGCTTATTCCTAGTATTTCTCCAATGGTTTCTGTTGTTGTTGAGATGTCACTGACTTCAGGTAATGTTTGTTTGAAGGGTTCAGCGTCCTTGATGGTGTATAAATTATCTTGTTTTGGTGTGTTCAAGTATCTTTGATTCTGAGATACTTTCATTCTCAAGTTGTTGAAGAAATAGGTGGACTGTGGTGTGACGCTGTCAACATGCTCACCCCAGAAAATAACTTTTATGTAACCAGATGGATCAACTATATAGCCTTCCTGTTTTTGACAGGAGAATCTTGGATGACTATAGTTTTGGTCGCACT